GTGCACCTCCTATTTTGGTTGCAATCCGGCTGCACCAAAAGTATATAAATATATATATATATATATATATATATATGTGTTGTGTGTGGTGTGTGTGTGTGTGTGTGTGTGATGTACCAGCTTTAGTCGTAGCTTAAATTATCAGACGATAAGTTTAAAAAACAGGATCGATTTATTATTATTCAGGAGAAAATAGCAATACAAAATCAGATATCCGGAAGTAAATAAAAGAATACTAATAACTTTTTGTATGAAGTTACTGCATCGTGACATTTAAGAAAAAGCCCCCGATATTCTTTGCGAGTCCTTTTATAGCTTCTGGAAAGGCGGAGCTTCCAAGAAATGACGTCAGCCAATCCAGTTCGCTTTAAATATTTCCAGAACATTCTATAACTGTACGTGTAGAAAAGGCAGGAAAAACAACTTGACTACGGGGCTGTGGATTTAATTCCACGTACTTTCAAATAAGAGACCGTCGCCATTAAAAATGAAAAGAACATACAGTTAGAATTTTAAGTGTATTCTTGACTGTGGAATTTTATTATTACATATATATATATCCATTCTGTTACCTGGCTGAGTGAGCTCAGTTTCTTTATTCTTGTGTGTCTGTAAATAGTGCATTTTTTGCTTTAAAAATGATTGAATTATGCTGTTCTTATCTTCCGGTTAAGGTTTTTATGCCCTTTTTACCTGCATGTTAATAGTTGTAGAATTATCAACAATTTAAAAGTTGTTTATGTGTAGCTAAGCCTATTTTTTTTTTACCATAGCAGCCATATTTGTTTACATTTCAAACTTAGCTGAATAGTGGATTTAATGCCAATCTAGAGAAACTTAGCTTCGCAACAACAAAGTAACGTATTCTTTTTTTATTGCAAATTAAATTATGCTCAATCCATTCTGGAATTATCCCACATATTGATTCAACATAGCGTTCACAACAAGTTAAGTCAGTTTCTATGCCTTCAGTGTCTTTTTGCCGAGTGAGACAAAAAAGTAAAGTTTGTTTTGCGCACTGAAAAATCTGCCTTCTTGCCCGCTGGCCAAATTGCTTATTTTGGATAGAAACCATAATTTTAATTGTAAAAAAATTTTTTTAATTGTTTTAACTGTATTTGGTTTTTTATATATTTTAATAAAGATATTTTGAGGTTTTAGTATTTTTGCCTTTCTGCAAACTGACAACAGAATTAATTGAATGAGAAATATATCTAATGAAATTCGAAGAAATAAGTTTAAATGAAATGCAGCAGAAGGTGCGTATAATTTAATATTCCGTACAAGGAAGTCATATGGTGTACACGTCAAATTTTTTAGGATTGGACTTCTGGTTTAAATGTTGATGCAACATTATCTGATTAAAATACTGTATATAAAAATCTGCCGTTTTAATGGGTTTGGTGAAAATATGCTTTTTGGATAAGTAGCTTGTTGTTATTTATATTATCCAGTTTGATCTGGCAATTGGTCAAACTCATCGATACACAAAAAATTAAGAGCAGATATATGGTTCAGGACGCATTCAATTATACACTTTAGGACTTGGGGGGGATTGTAAGGTAAGCTGAATTCAAATGCTGAATTGCAATTAACAAATCCTTGCCAGCCATTATATTGGATGTAAATATAACATAACAGAATGGGAAAATATTTGCAAATTTTGCACAATTACTATCATGAATGGTTGTTATTGCATGTACTAGTTGTATCTAATTGATAATTTTTATAAACATCAGTAGTATAAAAGATTTTTAATGCCATGTGTTATGTGTTTTCTTGCATCATAACTTGCTGCATTTTGCTTTATTTTTTAAAACAAGTCTATAATTTATTAAATAAAAATATGGGGAGACACATTTTGAAAGCAATTTGCTCTTTAAATTTAGCATTTAAAATTTATCTCAGCTTTAAATTTTTATTTTAATTTAATTAAATATTTTTGTTTTATGGCATTTGAATTGCAGTGCTCTTAATTCTGTCATGGGTTTCATCCATTTTATTCACAGAACAGGTTTTATGGTGAAAAGAAATTCTTGTATGAAAATGAAAATTTAACATTTTTTTGCAATTATAAATGCATTCAAATGGTGGTGAGACATACCTGTTTAGAAGTAGTGCAAAGAGAGCGTCTCAAAAGATCCCTCATTATTCTTGCTACTTGGATGCTTATAAGACTTTCTTACAAGCAGACTGTTTTTCATTGTAGCCCCTACCCCGACTGTGTTTCATAGGAGTAATTTTTCTTTTTTTCCTCTCACTGGCATTTTTAGCATGCAATATAAATATAGCTCAATATTTACAAACTAGCTGTACCCGCCCGGCGTTGCCCGTGCATTTAGAAAATGCAGATAAGTGAATAGCGTAGGAATAGTAGTGTAGGACATGTAGACTGTCTCTCTCTCTCTCTTCCCCCCCCCAACACACACAACATTCCCCGTCGATAAAAAGGAACAATATATCCTAACCATGAGCCATCTGTTAAAAAATTAGTTTAAATGAGAACAGACCTCATATTATCACATGCTAGGAAACCGTAGTCATGTGGTTATAATCATTGGTCTGAAGTATAAGAAAAGTAAACATAAAAAAATTCAAAATCAAAGATAGGAAAGAGTTGAAAGGGAAAGATAGAGAGTACAGTTACAGAAAAATAAAAAAGTAACGAAAACATGGATGAAATAAAACATCCTGCTTACAGGAAATTTGGAGTTAAGAACCAATTAAATTTTAATTTAAGTGTAAGTTAAATTTAGATGACAATGAATAGAAGAGGAGAGTGTTTGTGTATGTTGGTGGAGCTCGGGCTGGGGTCGCAAGGGCCCCTGACCGATTAATGTCTGTTGGTACGGCAGCACCATTCGGATTATTGCTCATGCTCTCAAGAGAGCACTAAACAATAACATCACTATTTAAAGCATGATAGTCAGAGTTAGTTTGGGAGAGTGGAGAGTGGCAATAATTTTCGTTAGATTGTCCTTTTCGTTAGAGAGCCTCGGGATAAACTATATTTAATGTTCTTCCATTCGGAGCTAAGATGTGTAGATTATCGGCATTACCAACTCTTGAACAACCACGTACAGTTGACCATGGGAGAAACAACGGCTTACGGAGGTCGAGCCTACAACTTGAGAGATTGTCCTTGTGCCTTATTAATACTCATCGCGAAACTCAAACGAACAGGGAATTGTAGACGCTTAAACTGAAACTGGAGATCGGAAGGGATTATAGGAATTCTTGAAATAAACACATCTTCGCCTGCAGCATGTGTCCGGTCATGATGGTGGCTTCTATAATATTTGGCATCAGTTTCTTGATAGAAAGTCTTGTTCCATTGCAAAGTGCAGGCGGATCCAGATTCCTGAGGAGAATTATCGGTGCTCCAACCTTCAAGTCCAATATGTGGGAGGGTACTCCAGGTGGCTCTAATTGTTGAGAAACTCTGTCGTATAGTTGACAGCCTCGTCATATTGCATGTCGTGTCTATAGATTTGTAAATATGAAGAGTTCCGGGTAAGTTCTGTAAAAGTTCCTTGTTGTAACACTGACGGCTTCGTTTGTTGGGGCAAGAATTGCTCTTTCGCACAGCCATGCGTGATCAGTGAAGTGGTGAATCACATTCGGAAACACAGCCTCTTCAGTTCTTCAGTGTAGTCACAATCCTTCCAATGCCTTGCATCGCTACATATCCATCTTCATTTCTGAAGTAAGGGCTCCATTTCCTAGTTTCAGTAGATTATCTGCAAACTGCTGGGCAGAGGGATCACCGTTGAGATGAACTCGCATGTTAGGCGATAATCCAAGTGTTTGAATGCCATTCCAGATGTGTAAGAAGATTTTATGCAGGCCTGCATTTCATCTGCCCTCGTTCCACGCGGAATAACTGGTAGCGTCTGTCGAAAAATCGCCTGCCAAAACCATTACGACGCCTCCCATTCTGTCATTGTCCGTCTGAGGTCTTTCATGGTGACATCTAATGCTTCGAATGCGCTTTGTGGGACATGGTACACTCGTCCCAAACGATGAGCTTGCAATCCTGTAGAACCTTTGCCTTTCCTGAATTCCTTGGAATGTTACACGTTGGAGTCTCTGTGCTTGTCAGATTTAAGGGTAACTTGAACGCCGAGTGAGCAGTCTATACACCTGTCAAGAGTGTAGCAGCAATGCCGGATGAAGCGACAGCCAGGGCAATCTCATTTCTGTGCCGCACCTTTGCCAAAATAAGGTTGATAAGAAACGTCTTCCCGGTTCCGCCTGGAGCATCCAAAAAGAATATACCCCTTTGCCTATCAAAAACTGCTCTAGTAATCTTGTCAAAGGCTTCTTTTTGATCTCGGACCAATTTAGGCTCATTCTCCTGTATATAAGCTGCGAGCACATCCATGTTATAACTTCGTTCTCTAATTACTTCACTGGAAATGGCAGAATCGCTGTTTCTGTTAGGTTGGGGAAATCCAAAGCTTTTCAGGTTCAATCCTCCTAGAGATATTATCTTGTTCTCAATGTAGATTAGGGCTCTGTTAAAGATGTCGTCATTGTAGTCCAGGTCCATATTCTGCTGCTGGATCCTTGCTTGATGCAGTATGTCTTCAGACAGGTTCTCCCTGTGGTTCATCCATAACTGTTCAGGGCCCGACATGGAGCACGTTTGAAGCATTACAGCAAACAGATTACGCATCATCTTGGGTGATCGAGATGCAGCTGCTTCTTTCTAAAACGCCGTGTTCCAGTGTTCGTCATTCTCCAGAAGTCCTTGAAGTTGGCAGGCCTCTTTGAAAGTGTTGCAGACTCTTCCTTGAACGGTTCTCAAATCCGTGAATGATGGTTGGGCCTCTAACTTCATGTAGTAATAGGCGAAGGTGGGAAGCATTCGGAGTTGTTGGGATGGACGGTGTAGACACGGCCAAGAGCATCAGTAGACGGATTCCTGTTTCTTCTGGAACAATTTGTCCTTGTTTACGGCGGTTCCAACTCTGTTCCTGCTGTTCATGTGTAGTACTTTGGAATTTGGTTGTAAAGTAAATTGCGAGCAAAGTTATCTTGGGTGCACAGCTTGAAGAAAGATGTGAGCGTTGTTTCCTGGGGTGCCTGGACCCGTTCAGCAGCATTTTCTTCAGTGAAGTACACTCTCTGGCCATTTTCAAGGTGGACGCTTAGATGAACGACTGTGGGATGACGTTCGTGGATTGGAAAGTTGAGTATTCTCCACACTGCTTCATTGCTGCTAATGTATCTTCCCATCTCATATTGATGAATTCATTCAGTTCATTGGCTCCACTGGTGACATAAAATACAGCCATGTCGGATCCTTTATTGACATACTTGCATACATACTTTATGGACTTGACAGAATTGCGTAAATCAAACGTTGATATGTGCGTTAAAAATTTTGGATAGTAGTGGACAGTAAGGAACAATCCAGGCATTGTCCACCGAAACTTCTGATCCTCGTAGATTGATGCTTGCTGTAAAACCTCCATCTGCAGGGCTTCTACGACGATACAGTGGATATCCGTCTTGTCCCGTCTGCGTCTCTTTCAAGAACTGGCGAGTGTATCGCTTCGTGCAGACTCCATCCTTCATACAAACAGAGCGGGGATTTATGCTTCCGCAGGGGCCATGCACCATTTGTTTCGTGACCGTGGTAAAGAGGTCTGGGTCTTCTTCTGGATCCGGGATTTCTGCGCTGATGAAATCATCGACCCTATGGACGTGCAAGGTGTCTTTCAGCCAAACCAGAATGTGGGCGTGAGGAAGTCCTCTCTTCTGCCACTCTATCGTGTACATGTAACATCGAGTATCACCAAAAATCTTCGCCTTTGTGATAAGACTGATGAGTGCCTTTTGCTTGAGATGAAAGACTCTTGCCAACAAATCATGGCAATCCTGGGGCTTTTGTCCATCGAAAAGTTCTTCTTGTATCTCTTTCCAGTTGGGGTTGCAGGTGAAGGTGATGAAAAGGTCCGGTCTACCGTAGTTTCGCACATAGGTCATCGCATCTTGGGTCCTTTCGTGCATGTACCTGGGCCCCCCTGTAAAGCTGGACGGTAAAATAACTAACTGTCCCATGTCAGCAACATTTCCATCATTCATAACGGCATCCCTCAAATGGGCATATTGTTCCACTCTCAACGTCTTCTGGTTCAATCGAATGTATCGCAGTCTTTCGGATTCAATCTTGGCATACATGTCCACAATAAACTGATGAAACAGGTCTTTGCTTCGCAGTAAAATGTTGAATGTCGAAGAGCGCATCATGATCCTGTAAGCGTAAAAGTCCATTGCAGAAATCTTCTTTGTTTGTGGCATTCCCGTAGTTGGATTTGTTTGGCGTAAATCAAAATGATAACCATCTTCCCCCTGCCAAAAGAGAAGTGGGTACTGTAGTGCATCGTAAGACCTGTGGGTATCGGCAATTCTTCTGATGGTGCCACTCCTTTCTTCTAAAACTATGTCTCTTGCTCCATGCTGTTCTCCAACCATTATTACAGCCACTTCTGATGATGTCGGAGCGTTGAACCGCCTTTCATGCTCACCGCGTGGGGTTTCGTCGGCTAAAATAAGGAGTTTTAATTCAGGACTGATCTTTTCCATGGCCGATTTGAAGCTTTGGACGTAGGAGTTTTCATGATGAAGCATATCTTGCAACTGAAGTACTATGTCCTCTCTGGTTTCTGGAACATTCCTACAACGTTTCTGCGCCTGTTCTGTTCTGTTGGCAACGAAATAAACTTGCATAAATTTGGGCTCTTCATTTGGTAGGGGCTGTAGACTGCCAATGCGATGATAAACTTGACCCTGAACTTTAAATGTTGGCATGTATCCAGGCTCTCTAATTTCGTTTGTTGTGCCGAAAGAGGTCATTTGGAAACAGGAATTGTAGCGTCTGATATTAGCTTGGAAGTGTTTGTCCTGTGAAGACTGGCCAATGAGGAAAGTGCGTAGGGGCTCAGGAGGATCTATTAACGGTGATAATCGAATTTTTCCTCCACTGCAGCACATACCTGGGGCTTCACCTTTCCATTTCTTCGCCTCACAGTGTTGGCAAGTTTGCGACATTGAGCCGATGAGAAGCATAATCAGATGATGGTTCATAATCGAATGCCGCATTTTCTAAATGCCTCCAGAGACACATTCGAGCATTAGTTGTTGCAGTTGTAACTCTCTGCAGTCTTGAGTTTCTTTCTGGGGTGTTTTCTTCTTCTCTTCTTCTTTGATGAATTTCTCTCACCTGTTGCTGTCTTGACTCTCTTTCTGGGGTGGTTTCTTCTTCTCTCCTTCTTCGACTTCTTTCTGCGTCCTGTTGCTGTCTTGAGTTTCTTTCTGGGGTGGTTTCTTCTTCTCTCCTTCTTCGACTTCTTTCTGCGTCCTGTCGTTGTCTTGAGTTTCTTTCTGGGGTGGTTTCTTCTTCTCTCTTCGACTTCTTCTGAGTCCTGTCGTTGTCTTGATTCTCTTTCTGGGGTGGTTTCTTATTCCTCTTCTTCGATTCTTTCTGCGTCCTGTCGTTGTCTGATTCTCTTTGGGGGTGGTTTCTTCTTCTCTCCTTCTTCGACTTCTTTCTGCATCCTGTCGTTGTCTTGATTCTCTTTCTGGGGTGGTTTCTTCTTCTCTCCTTCTTCGACTTCTTTCTGCATCCTGTTGTTGTCTTGATTCTCTTTCTGGGGTGGTTTCTTCTTCTCTCCTTCTTCGACTTCTTTCTGTGTCTTGTCGCTGCCTTGCTTCTCTTTCTGGAGTGGTTTCTTCTTGTCTCCTTCTTCGACTTCTTTCTCTCTCTTGTCTATTTTTTTTTTCCAAACATTTCTTTTTTCGAGGTGGCTGCGGCATATTTCTTCTAAAATCTGAAAAGCAAAAGTTAAGCAACCAACAGAAGAATGATTACAAAAACTGAAGAAAACGCTACAATAAAGAAATCAATTGTTATAATCGAACGTTATTTGAAAATAAATAATAGCAACACGATCAGTGAGTCAAAAAAATGATGAATATTAATTAAGAAAAACAAAAAGTTTATAAAGTGCAATTCTGAAAAAAAAAAAAAAAGAAAGAAATTAATGTGTCATGAAAAACAGCAAACTAAAGCTACAAAAAAGAAATGAATTGTAATTAATCGATTTAATGTATCGTCAAAACAGCAAACTAACGCTAGAATAAAGAAATCAATTGTTACAATCGAACGTTATTTGAAAACAAATAATAATATCAGTGAGTCAAAAAAAACCGTGATTAATTAATTATAAATAATTTTTTTAAAATTTTTCTAATTCAAAAATCGAAAATCGGGTTCGAGGTCTGGTGGCCAGCCCCTTTTGTGCTTCCGTATAAAAAATTCCAGGTCCCTGCGTGCGATAGATTTGGCTGGAGAGCTCGGTCAGACAGACAGACAGACAGACACATTACACTTGCTTTTATTATTATAGATTCTTTAATTTTAAAACCACAGGTATATCTTTGTTTCCATGTACATCTTACTGTACTATTAAAAGTAAGATATTTATATTTTTATGGTATTTATTTGTTTATTTGAATCTTAATTATTGTTATGTTCCTATCCATTTTTATTGAAAGAGCTCGAGATTTTTTTGTAATTTCTGTGATTAATAATTAGTATAAGAAGAAATTGTTAAGATTAGAAAAATGCAAAATATGAATAATTTTTATTTTCAGAAAATTCTGAATGATTTTGTGATGAGGTATCTTTTTATTATTTTGCTTCTTTTATTATTCATTTTAATAAATTACACAAGTTAATTAAAATAATAAACATGTGTTTTATGCTTTCATAAGCTGTTTTAACTAACATTTTTTTAAATTAAAATATCTGACTAAAAAGCAATTGTTTAAATAATTGAAGATATTTTTTTACTATGTAATATATTGATAATGTGATGATGTATAAGCTCGTTAGTTCTTGTTTAAAAGAAAAATTGTACATATGCAGAAATTGTTTTGAAAGTACTTTAATTAACCTTGTACAAAGTTTTATCATAAAGATAGCAATAATTGTCTTTACAAAAGGCAAAATGTCTGTTATATCTGTTGCCTGCCTCTTGCAACTGCTATTGTAAAGTAACTTTCTGAATTTAACTACATTTATATTGAACTTTATATAGAAATGTAAATATTCTGGAATATTATTAGTCTTTTTCTTCCATAATTTCCTTCTTTGGAAGAAATAGCGTTTATACTTCAGTAAAGAGGTAACAAGCAATATTCTTCTAGAAATTGGCTAGTCAGTAGATATTTTGGTAATTAGAATAATTATTAATGTCTGGTTTTGAAATTAACTCATGTACTGGAGAATTGGGAATTTATTTGCTTTTAGTTCGCCTTTTATTATATTAGTATACATAGATTTTCTGTCCCCTTTTTTTTTCCATAAAAAATATATTGGAAATACAGCCAATCCTCTCTGACAAGCATCTGCAATTAAAGGTGATTTTGATGCTTTGTCATGGTGGTTGTCTTAAAGAAGTGGTGTTTATTTACATTAAGAATCGCTTTAAGAGTTGATCATCACGAGATGGTTCACTGCATTTTATTGTTCACATACTTTGTATATATGTAATGTGAATTATCTGTAAATTTTTTTTTGTGTATTATGAAAAAATTATTTTGTTTTAAACATACTTATTTATTTCCTTTCATGAATAGTCATTTTGCATTAAGTTGTTATATACTGTACCTGCAGTAATATCTACTTAAAGCTTTATTAATTACAATGAAGCTTGTTACTTTCGTTACAGTGAATTCATTACTGGATTACATCTTGTTCTGTGACATTAATTTTTATTATGTACTTTTATTATTTTGTGAACTTGTAAATTTGTTGTATAGTTTTACAAGAGCAGCTATTAATTTTAAGGTAAAAGTATTAAAAATTTATAAAACAAACATTTTTTTTTTTTTTTTTTTAAATTTATTCTCTTGCAGCTGATTTTATTTTGATTCATTGTTTTGTTTCATTTTGCAGTATTTCAAGAGTAAAATTATTTTAGAATTTCTTTATTATTGAGCCTCATACATACTGCTTCTTTGTACAAGATTTAAATTTAGTATCTCATATTTTTATTGTTAAAATTTGTTTTATAGCAGTTATGCATATAAGAAATATATAGTTATTATTTTAATAAATGCATTATGAACAAACTGAATTTTTGTATTACATTGCATCTTGCACCATATTCATAAACAAAATTTTCAAATTTTGTTAATCGTATGTATTTACTAAATGTTGCAAATCAAAACTATCAAATTTTATGCAAATAATTTTTTTCATATCTCATGATATACAAAGCTGTATATATAAGACCTGTAAATAATTATTCTGTCATGAATCCAGAGTTTGTACGGTCCTTAAAAGTCCTTAGATTTTTTGGAATTGATTTTTGGTCCTTAATTTTGGCCAAAATCAGCAGAAAGGTCCTTAATTTTAATCATCTGAAATTTTTGTCTGTTTTTACAACTGCCATTTCGAGTAAGAATTAGCATTTTGGAGGAATATTTTTGGTGATTCACTGATGTATATATGGTTATCTTTTGAATGGGTTCATGAGTTATAATTTGTTTCTATTTCTAATATAAATGATGGAATACTCGAGTTTCTAAGCAAGAAGTGAAACATAAGCATTTTGAAATTCATTTTCTCTAATAAAGAGCTCTTAAACAACTTTTCGCTTTTGGGGATGTGAATTCTTTTATTAAACGGTTCTAAATTTGCCGATTTTAAGATCAGTTTCTATAGAAACTTTTAAATTCCGAGATCTGAGAATTTTTCGACGATTTTTTCAAAACATCGTGACATTGATTAATTTCATTAAAATAATGGTAATATATTGAAATTATATTTAAAAAAATAACATTAAGATAAAACATTTTAATTTTCTCTGTCATATAAAGTTTCATTTTGGATACTTATTATACAATATTTTGAATCTGAAAAATAAACAAGGTACAATGCTATAAAGTGCAATTTATGAAACAGCTTTTAGCAAAAGCAAAATTAGCAATGTAATTAATAAAAATGTCTTCTTTTTAATTTTTTCATAGTAAGAGTTTTTCCCGTGTAATTGTCTCAGAATATTCAAAATTCTCAGAATGTGCATGTTTTCTCTGTAAAATTAATTTTACACTTTTTCCCTCCTTTTTTTTTTCTCCAAAATATTTCTGGCTTTCTGCTGTTTACAGAATTGGTAGGGATAATTTTACTTTAGAATTTTAGACATTGCAGGTTGGAAAATTTAGAAGGATTTGAAGGCAAGATTTATAGACCCATGATTCTAGAAGATTCGAGAAATATGTGACAAAATGAAAAATGTCTCCACGGTATCAACACATAACGGATGTATTTTACAGAAAGTTTGCAATGAATTTCTTACTTTTTGGACAGCGTCTGGAAGAACAATAAAAACATAATACCTGAATGTTTTACTTCTGATACTAGAATCTTAACATGTTTATCTTCCCTTTATTTTCTCTACTATTCACTAGACACAAGCATGGAAAATAGCAAAAATGTTTCTAATCTTATCACATGGGCAGGCATTATAGAAAGAGATTTTTTATTAATAAATTAATTTAAAATTTACAATTTAAAAGATTCATCTAATATGTCTTAATGCATCATACACATAGCTGGCACTGGGCATTTCCCACCTGATGCAATCTCTGTGGATCCTAAATTCTGCTGCATAGTGCCTTTCTAAATTCTGCTTCCAATGCCTGCTCTAAATTCTAAAGTTTTGCCATTTCTAGATTTTGTTGTTCGGTGTGTCACTAAATTCTAAAAATTCTGCCACATCAGCTCTGTAACCGGCCTTTATCATATACACTGGTGTGCAAAAATTAAGGACGAAGTCGAAAAATTAGCATATCAGCTGAACGAAGAGGCAGAGCGGACAGAAAGACCAATCAGGAGATTAAGTAAGGTGATGTACGGTAGCACATGCACAGATATGCAGGTAGACATAATGGGGGATTGTCTGAGTAGTATAAAGCATGTTGTCGGTGTAAGATCAGTATTTCTGGCAAAGAGATTGCACGCCGTATAGCAGTTAAAATCACACTGAGTTGCTGCCTCAGCGAGAAATGGCGAATAATCAATGTGTTAGACGACATCTGGATGCTTTTACCCGAGGTCGAATCATTGGGAAATTGGAGGAAAGTCGCAGTGCAACAAGTGTGGCTGCAGAGTTCGGAATTGCCCACAGCATCGTTTCACGACTTTGGAGACAATTTCAAACTACAGGAACAGCTATCCGGGGGTTTAGTAGTGGTCGTCCATGAGGAACCACACCCGCAGATGACTGGTATATTGCCTTACAAGCCAGAAGAAACAGGTGGCAGACAGCGGGAGAAATCGCTAGACACACGACACAGGTGACTGGACGACCGATATCGCGTTTTACCGTGGCCAGAAGACTGCACGGTGGTAGTCTGTTCGCACGACGCTCTGTATGGTGTGGACCTCTAACGCCTGCCCATCGGAGAAGGCGTTCTCTGTGGTGCCGGAAACACCGGAATTCGAGAGACAATGAATGGGGACGAGTACTCTTTACAGATGAGAGCAGATTCAGTCTGAGTAGCGATTCTCATCGCATACTCATCTGGAGAGAGCAGGGAACCCGCAATCATCCCTCGAACATCATTGAAAGGGACAGGTATGGAGGTGGCGGTGTTCTCGTTTGGGAAGGCATCATGCTTGGTAGTCGTACAGACTTTACTTTACTTTACGCCACGAACTGAACTTCCGTTCTACGGAATCCAAGCAGAATATATTCAGTTCGTGGAATTCTACTATCGACTCACAGCCTCAGGAGGGGCTGGCA